AATATCAAGCCACACAGCACTCTCTATCTTCCCCTCTCCCTCACACACACACACACACACACACACAGACACAGACATTCCGGCATTGTGTGACGCGCTTCCGTTTCCGTTTTTCTCGGCTGGCGAGCAGCCACATTGTTTGCTCTTTGTCTTGGCTGCTCGCAGCTCTTTAGCCGCGTTTATTTGTTTTCCATGTTGTCTTTGCACACACTCACACACACACACACACACACACACACACACACACACACACACACACTTACATCCATAGCAAGCACGTGGCATAGGAAAAATTGCATTGGTTTCTCGCAATTGTTTTTCTTTAACAGAATGTTAAATGTATGTGTGCGTGTGTGTTTTTCTTGCAACGATCGTGCCTGGAAGCGCCTGGAAAATGCCATTGGAAGGCTGGCAGACTTTGGCCCTGTCCTGATTAATGTGCGTCCTTCAATGGCGTGCAAATGCATGAATTTATGAGCAGCTTGGCTGCATTTCGGGCCAACGAATTGCATAACTGTAAACAGCCAAAATGCAACTGCTGCGGCGGCAACTGTTGCAGCAGCAACTGCTGCGGCAGCTACATTGTGACAGCCAAGTCAAGCCAATAATAACAACAAGCAGCTAGTTAGACGAGCGTGTCCGACTGGCAGATACCCTCTAAGCAGTTTTAAAATGGATTACATCAATTATTTTAGTTTAAAACAAGTAAGAGGTTCTAGTCGGGAGCTCCCGACTAGGGGATACCCTGAATCCTCTTCTTCCAACAGGCGATAGGTATAAAATGAAAGATACTTCATATATATATATACTATTCTAGAAGCTGAATGTTAAGTTTGGTGAATCTAGCTCATATTATTTGCCGAAATTGCTCAAAAAACAGGATGTCGATATCGATTTTTATCGAATACTTGGAAACGGGGCAAGCTATCGAATATCGGAAACAAAGTCGATCTGCGCGGCGACTAGGAGGACCTACAACTAAAATTTCTCTAGCTCTTATTGGTTCTGAGATCCTTGCGTTCATGCATACGGACAGACGGACGGACAGACGGACGGACATGGCTAGATCGACTCGGCTATTGATGCTGAACAAGAATATATATATACTTTATGGGGTCGGAGATTTTTCCGTCTGCCTGTTACATTCATTTGCACAAATACATTATACCCTTATACCCTGATTTTTAGGCATGATTTCTAATGTTAAGAATATTTTTCCTCTTTATAGAAAATACTTTCACTTATCAGATACTTCTTTAAACATTTGTATACCATTGTAGAGCGTATTATAATAATGTCATGACATGTGCAACGCACAGAAGGGGACATCTCCAAGCCCTTAAGGTATATATATTCTAGATCAGCATCCACAGGCGAGTTGATAAAGCCAAGTTTCTCCTTCTGCTCGTCTGTCTGTTTGTCTCTCATTTTAAAAGTCTTGAAACTATTCCTAGGTTCGTCTTACTGTTGCACTTAGATAAGTAGAACATACAGCGGAACCCGCCGAATCACATCCCTATATCATACAGCTCCCATAGGAAAGATCCTTTATTTCGTTTCATACTTAAGAGTAAAACATATACAAAAATATATTTGACATACAAAACTCCACAAATTTCTGTTTACTTTCTTCGAGTCTATATACCCCACTTGCTGTAGTCATATTCAATATTTACAGGGTATAAGCAGGCAAACAAAACGCAACAAAGCAAACTTGAATCGCCTTAGAGCTCTTGTGACGAGCCTTGTTAACTGGCAACTGGCTAAGACCGAAAGGCCCTGCAGTTGTTGTTGTTGTTGTTCTTGTTCTTGTTGTCCTCTTTGCCCTTGACTGTTGCTTGCTGTTGCCTTGTGCCTGTTCTGGACATGGCCAAATGCAGTTTGGGCCAAATTTGCCGCTTTATGCGGCAGCTGAGTAATTAACACAAAACTTGTTAACTGGCTGGAAAGCCCTCAAGCCTTCGATTTCATGCACAATTTGCACGAGTTTTGTGTTTTAATTCTGAAGAATTTTTGCTGCTGCTGCTGCATGTGGCAAAGCCACAGCAGAAGCCATCAAGCATTCTTGCAGCAACTCTGTGGCATGTACTAATAACACCTGCAGCACAAAAGTGCACGCACACAAATTAGGTTCAATGATTCTGTGAATTAAATTGCATTGGAAAATTTACAAAAAGAGAATGTCGTGCTAAAATATTGATAAAATTTGATGAAAAAGTGCATCAATTTGATTGAAGAATACTTTCACATAATTAATAAGCTATTTTTATTGTTAAATTTTAGTTTATTTCATTCGTAAAGCAGCGTTTCAGCTGCAGCTTCAATGTGATCTTTCCATTTACAGTTCAAGCAACATTCCAGGCGCTGTTATCGTTCATGTAAACAAATACACACTGTAAACAGAGGATTAGCTTGTGTTAATTAACAGAGGATCAGCTAAACACAACTCTGCTCCTGCTAAGCTGCTGTTAAGCGCGCTTTTTTCTTGGCTCTCTCTTTGATTTCTAAGAGAACTGTAGAGCAGCCTTCTATTCATAGCCTAAGGCTCTCAGACAAACACACATACATTGCACTTCCCCCTCCCCTCTCCATCTGCTGCTCCCCATCCAATTATTGCTATAAATCGCCATAGCCTGCGATTTATATCTGTATCTGGACATTATCACTTTGCCGGCTGACTTGTTCGCCGCACTTGCAGTTAATTAAAAAATCTTGGCCAAGGATTTATGTTGGCTAATTGGATTTAGCGCCTTCTGCTTTGGGCGCGGGAGCCACACGTGAATTTCAATTTCAATTGCAATTTGTAGTGAGTGGTGAGAGGGGGGGGGGGGGGGGTTGTGTGTGAATGTATGTGTGTGCTTGTGTGTGTATGTTGCTATTTGATTGCCTGTCGCGGAGCCAAGAGCCTGCAAGTGCTTTATCAACTTGACTTCTCGTTTCTCTCCTCTGTCTTCCTCTGCGTTCTACTTTTCCTATACACACACACACACACGCAAACACATTTATTAGACACTTTTCACCGCTGCTGCAGCTCATACATTTTCTTTCCAGTCTAGGAAAATTGCTTTCCAGCTGTGAATTGCGCTGCTAAACGTTTCCACTTATTAATTTGTTTATTATTCACCTCTAATCACTCGCACTCAATTCACCTAACCCCCCACTGCAAGCCATCCCCCCTCCCCCTCTCCCGTGGCAAACACTAATCCATATAACCGCTTAACATTCAGCGCTGGTTACTCTATATCCCTCTCTCTCTCTCTCTCACTCTCCGTCTCACGCTCTCTCTTGGTGACAGGCAACAACAAATGTACAAAAATTTGTTAACATCAAAAAGTACATTAAAGGCTCAAGGAATGCGCTTTCGTGCGGAAATTGCTTACGTGCGCGGCATTAACAAATGACATGCTGTATGCGACGGCCAGCGGCGTATAAGACCAGAACTCACCCCGCCACCCGTCTCCCGCAACCTAATGCTAGCTGCCTGCGTTTGGGGTTGCGCCAGTTTCGTGTGTGTGGAACGTGTGGAATTTGTCGCTTTGTCGCCCAGCCTTCAGCCATTGGCCAGCGGTGGTGAGTTTGTGCGCGCTGCCTGCTGTGCGCCCTTGCGCAGGCTGGCGGCAGCAACAAGTGTGTTGAATTTGCTGCAGCAACAGTGGAGACTTTTTGTAGAGCTATGCTGGACTTAACAGTGGCATGCTAAGGGCTGTTAGGTGAGGTTGGGAGGGTGGCTCGCTGCAGTTACTCAAATGGCAACAAAATAATTAAAAAATTGCAAAGGGCAGAAAAAATAGACAACAACAACAACAAGAAAAATGTCAATTGCAACACAGATTGCAATGCGAGCCAAAATGCAGCCAACTGCGCTGCCAGCGTCGCTGCTGTCACTGGCGAAAGCTTTTCATGTTACAGCAAACGACAAAGGCAAAAGGCGACGACCCGTACCCCGCCCCTCCCTTACCCACCCACACACATCTCAGTTTACACACTTGCAACTACTGCAGCACCAGTTGCTGTTTTAATAATAATAATACCCTGTAGAAGTGTTCAATGGGTATAGAAATTAAACGGTTAATGATTAATTATATAGTTTGATATATGTACATGTATATTTTGGATCTGCCGAAAATTATTATCCTATTTTCAAAGTACATTTTCAAGCTGTAAACTTACAGATAATATTTCTGTTATCAGCTCTTAAGCCTGGCTTAGCAGCGCGGTCTGCTAAGCTGCTGTTAGTTGCAATTTCCAGTTTCCAATTGGATCTCGCATGATCGATCGAATCGGGTATTTTCGTTTACGTGTAAGATGGTTGGCATTAAAATGTTAGAAATGCAATTTTAATTTTACAATTTAAAAAATTTTAATAAATTTATTATTCTGGCTTAAAGACAATCAAAAAAGGGGATCTCGAGTCAAAATCAGCTCGTTTTAAGTCGCTTAGGTTTAAACCCGGTTGGTTTAAGTTGATTACAGGGTATTTGCCGCTGACATGGAGAAAGGTCACAGACCAAAAAGATAAAGAAGAATTCGGCGTGGGTGGGTGATAGCGGCGACAAAGACGACGCTCGTCAGTTGGTGGATATAAAATGTCAATAAGCTCCAATAACGCAATTGACAAGCTGAGGCAGCTTTGGTAGCTGCGTGGCTGCTGTGGCAAGTGGCAAGTGGCAAGCGAAAAACGGGGCAGCAATAAACGAAAATGACACGAAAAGTGAAGGGAGCGTGCGGATTGGGGATTGAGGTCGACAAGTTGGTTGCAGGCTGCCCAGCGAGCCGTGTGGCAAGTTCCAGAGCAGAGCTATGCAGCGCGACTTTGTTGCGACTACCGCCCCCCCCCCCCTCCTCTCGCCCCCCTTGATCTTGCCCTGGGGCAATTGCCAAGTAATTTCAAGCTTAAAGAAGCTGCAAATTGATTATGCGCCAAATGTGGTGGGCGTGGTTTTTATTGCAAGTAAATGAAGAGCAAAAAAAAAAATAACATTTCGTAAACAAGGCAAACATCAGACGCGCGCCTCCCGCTGCCGCCGCTCCCGCTCCCGCTCCCGCTCCCGCTCCCTCTCCTGTGTCCGCTCCCGCTCCCGCTGCTCCAGGCTGTTGCTGCCGCTGTGCGTGGTCAGCGGCAGCTCGCGCATCTCCTCCGAGGAGCGGCCCAGGACAATGCGACGCGCCGACTTCGGTGTGCGCTCCAAGAAGGACTTCTCCAGCGAGGGACGCGGCGTGGCGCCCAGACTGGAGATGGGCGTGGCGGGGCTCACGATGGGCTTCTTGTTGTTCCACACGCAGAGCACGAAGCGAATTTCCTTAATCAACGCCTGCTTGAACGTGAGCTGCAAGTGAAGGGAAGCAAAGGGATGCGACTCTTAATGAAAATAGGAGACTCGACGAACTCTTAATACGCTTCCGACATGCTCTTGATGATAAACTTAAAAAGTTATTAGAGCTCAATCTCAGCACAATTGTTGGAAGGGAAGTTAAAATGTTAATGGAATGCATTTAACTTTAGTAAAAAAGAATAATTATATGAAAACCTATTGCAACTATTTGGACTGTACGTAATAGTTGTCAATTGTTTCTTAACTATGAACCAAAGTTTTTTAATGAAAACTCAACTTATGGGCGATCTTTCCTTTTAAAACTATACGACATAATTGTTGTATGTTCGTAAGATTTTAAATATATTAAGAAAATAATTTATCATATTCCTAAATATATTAGGAATATGATAAAACTTTAAAAAGTTGAGTGTGCTCAGGAAAACTGTCGGAAGAAACTATTTTTCTGTGAAGAATCTTCATTGTTTCTGATCATCCCTATGGCAGCTATATGATATAGTGTAGCGATACGAACGGGCTCATTTTATATACACACTAGAGCTATAAGAAATAGTTACACCAAGTTTCAACAAGTTAGCTTCGCGGGGAATCGGGAAAACTTGACTATAATCCCTTTGACACCATGTCACATTGGTTGTATTTTCATAAAATTTTACAAATATCGTAGAAATATAATAAAATATCAGAATAACTGTCAAAAGACACTAGATTTCTCCAGAGTAACCTTACTTTCGGACAATCATTCCTATGGTAGTTATATGATCTAGTGTAGCGATATGAGAGGGCTTATTTTATATGCACACTAGAGCTATAAGAAATAGTTGTACCAAGTTTCAACAAGTTAGCTTCGCGGGGAGCTGAGTTCACATAGGTTGAATTGGACAAACTTGCGTATATGAGCTAAACTAGCCTGCTTGATAAGGCACTTAGATTCCTTATGGACTCGAAGAACCTTGACATCACAGACATATCACAGCTAATCTAAAGGACCCTTTAAAGGACATACTCAAGGACTATATAAAAGAACTCACGTGTTCCTCGAGCGCCACCTGCTGCACGTAGAGCAGAAACTCGGTAAAGCCAATGAGAAAGGCAATCAGAATGCCCACGTACAGGGTATAGAAAATGCCGCGCAGCTCCTCGAATGTCATGTCGGGCGTGGCATCCGGATCGGGCTCCTCAAAGCAGCTGGCATTCGGATTCTTCCACCATTTCTGCTTGAGATTGTAGAGTTCGCCGCGCTCGCTGAGCCGCAGAATGGCCACGCTCAGATTGGAGCGATATTCGGCCCCGAAGGGCACGGCAATCGCATAATGTTTCTCGCCAAACTTCTCGCCCACGGAGCGCAGATCGCAGTGCTGTTCGCGATTGTACTCCAGCGTGGTCGTCTCCATGAGGAACATGTAGTCCCCGAAGCTGGTCAGGACACGCTCGACACCCTCATCGTTGTCCTTGGTATAGGCCGAGGGATCATCGTTGTTCATCAAATTGAAGGCCAGGCGATAAACCGTCTCGTTCGACTCGGCGAGCAGATTGTACGTGCTGCCTCCGTAGATGGTGCCGAACTTGACCTCCTTTTGGGAGCTGAGATCCTTGAGGTTTGTGATGCTGCCCTCCATCTTGGAGCTGGTCAGAAAGGCCGCCAAATTGGCCGTATACGAGTTGGCAATAATAATGGCAAAGATCCACCACGTGGCCTCAAACAGACGCACCTGCGGACTGCGCGGCAGAATATCGCAGCCGGCCGTCATTATGGAGGCCACGGTCAGCCAGAAGGTGTTGTGCAAATGCCATTGATTCTCCAGCGTGTCCGGATCCCGGTTGCACGGATGCGGATTCTCCCACTCGGCACGGGCAATCCTATGATATAGGATAAAGAAATTATATGCCAGCTGCTGGTTGTCTGTCAAATCCTTCACTTACCGCGCTATGATCACCTTCAGAAAGGACATGGCGAACACGGAGATGAGTATCCAGATCCACACCTCACCGCCGAAGGGCTCCAAATAGGCATGCAGCTCCTTCTCCTTGTGCGGACTCTTGTACGCCAATATGCTGACGCCCAGCTGCATGAACGGCACCGTAAAGTCCACGGCCGTGCGACGCGCCTGGGTGATGGTCAGGTCGCAGATGCCCATGTGGGCGTCCTGTCAATAAATATTCAATTTCAATATTATTGTTATAAAACTCAATTTGTTGGATTCGAGAGAAGATAAAGTCCGGTAAAGGTACTTGCTTTATAAATAAGAAGTGTGCTGCAATTAGAGCCAGCACTTTCTATTTTCACATCCTGTCGATAAATATTCAATTTCAATATTATTGTTATAAAACTCAAATTGTTGGATTCGAGAGAAGATAAACTCAGGTAAAGGTACTTGCTTTATAAATAATAAGTGTGCTGCAGTTAGAACCAACACTTTCTATTTTCAAATTTGTTCGATTCTTAAACACTTTTGTTTGTAAAAAACTTTTCAGAAAGTTGCCACTTAGAGAACTTTTAATTCAAAATGTATTACGTTTATTTGCAATACGATTTGAAAGAGGCAACAATTTTGTAGTCGGGTGTAACCGACTACACTATACTCTGTTCGAGGTGATAAATCTATATCTATTCAGAAATATTTCTTTTTCTCTATAGAAAAGATCCTTTTTATATGCTCGTAAAATTTTATCTTTTTATAAGCTGGCAATTTTTAAAAATTTAGTTTTTGTTTAAATAGAAAGGAAACTTTTTATAAACTGGCAATTTTTCTAAGCTAAAGGAAAATTATGATATTTTTTTTTTCGACGATTTTCTAAAATCTGCACACAATTTCTTTTAGTGTAAATTGAATTCAGTTCGGTTGCCTCCTTCTCCTTTCTCTTACTCACATTATTGATAATCTCGCCAATGATGCCGTTCCACTGTTTCGTGTCCTTGTCCTGCTTGCCATACTGCTGATCCGCGACGGGCACAAATATGTACTCGAAGCCCACCTCCTGGGCGATGGCATCGATGAGGTCCACCGCGTAGCCCTTGTAGATGGCATTTCCGGTCAGATTGAGTTCCATTGCCGTCTCATTCCGGCTAAAATAGGGCGGACCGATGCGCGTGGCGACGCGATAGACAATCTTCTTCTGCACCTTCTGGTCCAGGTCCAGCTGGGTTATCTGGCCGCGTGTATCCCACACGGCCACGCCTATATTATCGGTTGGGTCATAAATCTCAATATTGAAATTAATTCGCTGTCCATCCTCGTCAAACTGCAAATGGCTGGTGCGAAAGCTGCTGCTATTCACGCCGGAAGTCTGTCGGGCGATTAGTGTTAATGCAATCACACGCCTCTACCCCTCCCCATGGCGCCCCCCCCCCCCCTTTGGCTTACCCCCTTCATTAGGCGCGTCAAATATCGACCCATTTGCCAGGTGCGACCGCCCGCAGCAGCAAAATCGCAATTCATGCGCGGCACCAACATCCGTTCCGGATAGAAATACGTGGCATTTCGCCAGGCCTGTGCAAACATCTGGAGTCCATCGTGCAGCAGGTCGTGGATCAAGGTGCGCGCCGGCTCATTGTTCTCATAGACAACATTATCCCGCTGCGTCACATAGCCATACAGCTGCGTGTGCTACAAGGATCGAAGGGAACACTTACTTGAGGCTGAATTATGGAGGTAATAGAGGCCATGCTTACGGCTGGCGGCTGCGGATTGAGCAGCATTCGGGCGGCTGTGATGTTCACAGCAAATGTCTCATTGTCCGCGGTCAGCTCCTCCAGATGATCGTTGTACGTCTCCAGATTGGTCAGGAAAATGTGCTGCAAACCCAGAGATTAGACTCAAGAGATTAGACTCAAGAGACGAGCGCAATCCTCACTCACATTAAACTGTCCCGTCAGACCGAATTCCGAGGAAGAGTTGAGCAGCTCCACGAGCATATCGGGCGCACAGTCGAGCACGACACGGCGCTCGCCCTTGATGCTCTTCCACATGACGCGATAATCGTCGTCCTTTTGGTATTTGCGGACACGCACCACATCGTTGTGCACGTCGCGCAGCTGCAGCAGATCCTGCAGACGTGCCGTGGCCTTGGCTAGCAGAAAGGATAACAATTAAAGGAAAGGGTATCAGCTAGTCGGCGACCTACCATCGTCGGCGTCGTAGACAATCGTGAATTTGCGCCAGCCAAAATTGTGCACAATATCCGCGTACGCCTTGGAGAGTATCAGCTGCGAGGGATACAAATTGAGGGTCATCTGGTGGTTGGGCTTCTCCTCCAGATGCTCCTCGTCGGAGATATCGAACTCGATGTGCGGAATGCCCGTGTTGTTGCACACCAAGGCGACAATATCTAAGGGATAACAGGAGAGAGAGAGAGTTGAGAGAGTTGAGGGAGAGAGAGAGATTGAGGCATGCCGAATGCTAGATACACATTTTGGGCTTGTCTAGGATGTTTTCCTCGTTGAGCCCAACTTTAACCAGACTTTTTGTTTCTCTATTTTTGAAGTTTATGAACAACCAAGGGGAACTGTAAGCTTCGAAGTGCCGAAGATTAAATACCCTTGCGGACATATGTATTCCCCTTGTCGGGGATATTTTTCTTGGTAAGCCCAAATTTAACAACAGTTCTTTCTTTCTTACCCGAAGATTAAATACCGCATATACATATGGATTAATTATGATACTTGGATATCAAAAATTTTGTATTCTTATCTTAAATAACATTTTGGTTACCATATTCAGCTGGGTTAAACGAAAAGTCATCCTTTTTAACCCTGTTTTTTATATATATATCTGGCTAATATATTATTTTCATGCGCTTCAAACTTGAGCTAATTGTTAAATAACATACTTTAAATTGTAGCTGTATATACCAGCCAATATACTTTAAGAAGTACATAATTATTGTACAGAAGATCTACTTAATTAATTGATTATTCATATACAATTTTTATACAGGATGTATTCAGTTGATTGATTATTCTTACAGCAGTGATATAGTGTTCCGATTCGACCCGTTTCGAAATATGTGCAGTCTAGAGCACCAAGAAAGAGCTGTACCAAGTTTCATTAATATAACTTTGCTAGGAGCCGAGTTAACATAGTTCAGGCTCAAGATTAAAGCGAATCGACTGTTCATAAGCAATGTATGCAGTTTATGGAGTCCAAAATGTCTGCTTTAACAAGCTACAAATAGTTTGTCATTAATGTCAAACACTTTTGTGAAGCTATTAGAAGTTTTATGGCGATCATTTCTATTAAGAGAATATGATATAGTCGGGTTCCATTCTGATAATTTGGTATATATTCTGCCTTAAGCTAATGCAAGCATCTATAAAAAGTTTCATCAAGATAGCTTCGCTGGCAGCTGAGTTCACATGGATATGACATGGATGTATGAGTATAGAGCTCTATATCTCGTATTTCATGTAGAAAAAAATTAAATTAATAATAATAATTAATTAATAAGTTAGAAATCTCGTTACTTAGTGCAAATACCCTCATATTACCCTCTCCAAAAAAAGAGATTAAGCTAGTTCTGTTCTCTGTTTACAAACAAATCAATTTGTCTGTTTGTTTTGCTCTTCTTTCTCATTTTGGAGCTTTTTGCGTCGCTTCTCTTTTCTATTTTGCTTTCACGTTCTACACAAAAATCTTCCTCAAATTGGAACCAAATGGAACCCCTCCCCAACCCCCCTTTGGTACTCACCGTTGGCCGCCTGTGAACTTGGTCCAAAAATAGCTGCGACACCATTATCTATAAGATCGCATGCTAAAAAGTGAAGAGTATTTGTTCATTTAATGTTTTGCTGAGCTTTTTCAATGTGAAAATTCGCACCGTATTCCTGTAGAATAACGCTGCCATCTTCCGGCTTGAGGCGCCTTATCAACGGATTTAACCTTAAAGTCTGCTCCGCCTCGGGCCCGTTAATGGCATTCACCACAGCCATGAATTCCTTCTCCAGTTCCAGTTCATTGTCGTAGAAAAAGGCGCCTGGTTGGGAAATACTTGTGACTATATATCTCTCTCTCTCTATATGCATATATACATATATATCTTTGTGTAGTTGCCTCACCGATGCTGATTTCTTGCTGCAGGCTGTCGTGCAACAAAAATGCACTCCACATGCAGCAGAGCACAATGATTCCATGCCACATATTTTTTGTGTTTCTACTGGAATTTTCGTTGCTCTGCGGCAAACAATTTGGACACAATTTTTGCGGCACAAATATTTTTCGTATTACGTATGTGGCGAACGCATCGAGAGTGTGCCGAAAACTGTGAAGCTTTTTCTCTATATTTGCTGCTCGATATTTGTTTTGGGGATCGCCGCTGCGCCACATTTGTGCTAGGCATGGAAAATGACAGCAGCTGTTTTGGAAAAGCTTTCGGCCAAGGTGCTCAAGAAGAGAACATCTATATGCGATCAGCTGTTGAAGAGGCATTTTGAATTTAGAAGAATATTGAATTTTCGATTAAAAAGCTTCCACAGTTCCCGCTCAGATTGAATAAAACTTAAATGACTAACCCGTTTATTGTCCGAATTTGAAGTTTTCAGGACTTCAAGTTGGCTTTCTATTGTGTGCATATATTAGCAATCAAATCTAGTACTCTGAAATTATAGGTTTTTTTTCGAGTAATTAACGATACATATCGATATTTAGTTTTTTTTTTTTTTGGCAATTGGGAATATTTATCGAACAAAATTAAAAAACTTGATCTATCTATGATAAATTTTAACTTATAGTAGAAGTCTTTTGCAATTCGATATTGACTATCGATATTTGCAATTTATCGATATTTGCAATTTATCGAAAAAGTCATCGAAAAAATTAAATAAATCCGATCTGTATTGATAAATTACATTTTGTACGCATCTACTGTAATTAGGGTTTTAATCTCAGGTGGATGCACTTATATGAACTGGAATTGACTATCGCTAAATATCAATGTTTGGGTATTCAGGAAATGTTATCGAAAATCGATGTCTATAATAAACTATATTTTATATTACACATGTGCTGCAATTAGGTCTTTAATCGCTAAGAGGGATGTATTTATGCAGGCATATGGAAGGGCAGGATATATATTCACTCGAGGCTTAATTTGAGGCTGTTTTGGAATATATATGCTTTATAGACTGAAAAGTGCTTCCGTTAACATAAATTTTCGAAGCTTCTATGCCCTTAGCAGGTCATGCAAAATCTATAATGAATAAAGGAGCAGCTGGCAACGGCACAGTTCGCACCTTCAAGTTGATTCTTTCAATCGTCAACAGCATTTATCATAATCAATTCAACACAGTTTGTGCTTTTTTTTTTTTTGGTTTGTGTTTGTTTTTTTACCAGAAGTGCCACGCCCCCGGCCATGAAGGGCACCCGCCCAGCTGTCGGCTTATTTCTGGTCTATGGAAATGAATATAAACGTTCTTTTTGCATTATCCTTCAGTGAACCCAGCCCCTGCTTCCCCCCCTCGCTACCTGTTGGCCTTTGTCGACAAATTATTCAAATTTGGGGCTGCAGCTCGGAAAAGGTTGACTTCGGCTCGAAACGTGTTTGGCATCAATAAAATGCTGAAAGCCAAACAGAGCAAAGGCTAAAATGACACCAGCGGCCATATTGTTGCTTGTTTTCACACACACACACACGCATACACACACACTCCCACACACACACACCATTAAAATATGTTAATGTGCGTGTGTTTTTAGTGAATGTGTTTTCTATGCAAATTTATATCGCTGCCAACGCTCTTGACGACCTCCACAACCTAACCACCCCCCCCCCCCTCTCCACCCCTTCCCCCCTCTGTCACAGCACAACAGTCCACGCCCCCGCCCGAGCACCTACTTCTTTACCGTCGCCTCTCATTGGGTTTTATTCTATGAAAAATTGACACCTCATCACTTTTCAATCGAATTCAATGGCCCACAACCAAACCCCACACGCACTCTTACCCTCCCACACACACCACACACACACACACACACAGCAATAACATTTGTCGTTTGTTGCCTGCGTGTGATTGAGGTGCGGCCCCCACCCCTTCAAGGATAATAGTGGCTGCCATTGACATGTCCGACACCCGCAGCCAGACCCCTGGGGAGCTAATCGCTGTGCTTTTTGTGACCCGTTGCGTTGCGTATTATTTTATATAAATTGCTAACAAAATATCCAAAGTATTGTCAGTCACTTTCTTGACTTCATTAGCTGCTTATACATATTCCTTTTTATTTCAAGTTGAGGCAGGCTAATTTCTGTCTATTTTTAAACAATTAGCAATATTTCTTCAGTAAAGCTATTTTTATGAATCCGAATCCGGCAGCTATATTATATTTATTGATTCTAATTGTAATCTGTTATTATTCAAAAAGAACAAAAACAGATTAAAACAAGAGAAGGTAAGGGAAACCTAATGGGCTTAAGAGAATATTCCCCACATATTTGAACTGTGCGATGCCGGGTAATTTTCTATAGAATTTTATATCATTTTATGTTATGTATTTATTATTATTGTTATTATTTTGTTTTTTATGATTTGAAGTGGACAATGCCGGATAATTTCCTTTAATTATTCATTGTTATTATTATTTTTCTTTTTGAATGATTTGATCTGGTCAATGACAGAAGTTTTCCTCTAGTAGTTTATATATTATAGTTTTTATTTTATTTTTTTTAATGTTTTGAACTGCAACATTAACGTCTTTATTAGGGATGTATTCACATAGACATATAGACATATCCACTCGAGTCTTAAGTTGAGGCTGTTCTGCAAAATGAATGCTTAAAAGACTGAAAAGTCTTTTACAGCAACTGCAGTGTTTCGGCAAGGGTATTGACTAGTCGGCATCTGAAACCTTTTTGCTTCTGCCTTGTTTTGCTTGAATTGCGCCGACAAAACGGCAAATGAAATTGGACAAACAAATGGAGCTGCGAGGTGAGCGCCAAGTCAAGCCGACAAAAAAAAAATAAAAAGCGAATAAAACGAGAAAAACGCGTAAAAAATGGCAGGGCAAAGCACTTACAAAACATTTTCTATTACACACAATATTTATGGTTATCATGCAGTGGCAGCCGCAGCCAAAGCAACAACAACAACAACAACAACATGGTCTCATATATGAAATAAAGTGGCAGTCAGACAGAAAACATAGTTGGACAGAGGCGACGCCGCACAACAACAAATCCAAATTCAAGTCCAAATCCAAAAGCCAGTCCGCAAACTGCAGAAGAATCTGCAGAAAAGTTTTTGCTAGGTAACAGCAGGCAGCTGCAGGGTGGGAGGGGGGAGAGGGGGGGGAGGGGAGGGACTGCGCCGGCGAGTTGTGTAGTTGGTGCAAAAAACTTTTTAATACTTGCCATAATGTTGCCAAAAGGATTATCCAAAAGAATGACTTTTAATGGAGACAGGAAGTAAGCGCATAACAGACAGAAGTATTAACTGTTTCCTTCCGACCAAACCCGCCCGCTCCCCGCTCCCCGTCCTTCTACCCAACCACTGCCTGGCTGCCTTTCGCACCAATGAGGTGGCTAGCCAGAGCTGAAAGTCCTGGCCAGAATAACCACACATACAAATGTCAGTTGCTAAGCATCAGCTGTTGTTGTGCCTGGGATTTAGCCCATACTCGCGCGCGTGTGTGTGTGTGTGCGTGTGTGCGTGTGTGTGGCACATAAGCTGTGCGGAAATATTGCAGTTTGCTTTTATAACGGGCAAGCGTGGTCGAAAAGCTTATGCTTATTTTTATTTCATACAGCCAAAACATGCCCAGTGTCTTTCCTGTAGCACAGGATTAAGCTCTGAGTTCTGCGTAAGCCTCAACCCCTGCGATTCCACTCTGGCATCAAATGCGAACTCTCTTTGTGGATACAAATTTCAGCCTTTTTTTTTTATTAGACAAAGAAACTATCCATCTTTATCTTAGCCGAAGCAGTTGTTCTGAAACTAAGGCTGGGACTTTGTTACAAGCAAAGTTAAATATTCCTATGCTTATTATACTATACAAGAGCCTGCATATCAAGTTTGGATTATCTAGCTTTTATAATCCTCGAGTTATGCTTAAGAATATATGCTTTCCGTGATCAAAAATTTCGAATAGGCGGACAGACAGAACAAGGATAGATTGACTAAATAATTCAGCCTTAGTTAATCAGTCTGATCAAAATACTTTGTTGTATATACTTCCTTTTGCATGTTGCAATCGTTTGGGCAACACCAAATTACATTTTTTTTACAATTTTTTATGGTTTCTTCCGAATCAGGGTTCGAAATAAAGTCTTGATTCCTGAATGTGGAACGGGAAAGTAAGGAAAGCCTCGGCACGCCGAAGTTTTAATACCCTTGTGGACATTAACCTTACAGTTTGGCGGACATGTTAAAATATTGAAGCTCGTAAAGGCTGAGTTTGAGTTTGCAAATATCTTGGCAAACATCATATTTTGCCATACAAAACTTCCTTGGTTCTTCCTATGAGGCTATATTATTATATATTCTACTAGATTGTAAAATGATATTGATATAATTTCACAATGGAGCAAAGATATGAAGATATCTTATTAGCAAGAAAGTTGTCCACACAAGAATATACTTTTCCACCGTTTGTTCCTAAGACAGCTTTATGATATAGAAGGCCGATCCGTCCGGCTCCGACATATCAAAACGATAGCTTTAAAGCTGAGCGACAAGTTCGCATAGAACAGCTGGACATAGCTATATCAACTCGACTGTTGATGCTAATCATGAATATCGGATCGAAGATGTCTCCTTCTATGAGTTACATATACATATATCATGACAAAACTATAATACCCTTAACAAGTGTATACCCAAAGGCTGGGGATGATAACAAATGCATTCTAATAATTGATATCTGACCCATGGTGCATTGGACATGGCTGCTTCGAGCATTAGCTGCGCGTATTTCCAATACATTTTTCCACCTGAAAGCTGTTTTGACAGGGTGGCAACGCCAGCTTTTTGCCCTTGCCCCTGCCCCTGCCCGCGCGGCTGTCTTTAATATATTTTCCGCTCATTTTGCATTTTAATGAGTTTAGCCTGAGCTGAGCCTGGCCTGGCCTGAAATATGAGCCGGCGCTGACAGTGGCCCCCTCATAATTTTGCTCGAGTCATTTTTTCTCCAGCTTCTCCCTCTTCTTCTCATTTCGCATCTTCGGCTTCTCGTCTTGCGCTCTATTATTCTAAGAAAGTGCGCTAAGTCGGTTTAACAACGCCGCCGTGTCATCTAGCCGGCAGCTGCCTGCTGC